CTTTGAGTGTGTAGGCCGGTCGGAAGCAACCTGCGTCCAGCAGCTCTCTGCGACCTTAACCAGGGCCATCATCAACAACAGCCTATAAATGCCCACTGCTGAGCAAAGCCTCTTCTCACACGGAGAAGGTTTGAGCATTAATCACCACGCTTGCTCAATGCGGGTTGGCGATTACAAACTTATAATTAGAAATTATAAGCCCAGGTTTCCTCACGCTGTTTTCCTTCACCGTTTGTCAGTGGTGTCTAGATAATCTTAGAAAGTACATATAACTCTGAAAAAGCGAACCCGCACCCTCATGCATGAGAAGCGGACGTCTTAAACCTCCGGGCCTCCACGACGTGCTTTACACCGTGACGTGCGTTAACCGGGGTGCTTACTCAGACTCTTGACACCAATCTCAATGTCAATGCAATTTCAATCCAATAAAATCTCAATAATTATTCAATGTCAATACTATACAACCACAATCGTAGCTGTTAAAATAGCATTCAGAGTACGGAATATAAAGCCAAACTCGATAACATTTAGTTTATTCAATATCCACGCAATACGGATGCAATGAGCGCTAGTGTTGCAACTTAAGAGTACGAAATTTTACAATATCGATGTCGATCGATCGGAATTGGACTCAAGACTAAGCCCCCTGGTCGTCTGTCCACCTTGCGGATGGACGTCCTAAGCTGCGCTTAAAGTAGGGTTGCCAAACTTTTTTTAGAAGAAATAGAGTATATCTGGTTTTAAAGGACGTAAATAAAGAGTACGGGCTTACAAAAAAGAGTATCATTTATTTTATGCTTTTAAAAATTATTTTTTCGTACTTTTTGTGTCATCAGTCTAATTCGCTCGATAGGTAGGTTATTGCTCGATGTCTATACTTCAATTTGGTTCAGTACTTTTCATAACAGAGTGGTATTGTGTCAAAATTGAAATATCTAGTTTTAAAAAAAAACTACAAAACACTGCACTAAAGTAGGTATTTTCGAAATGATTATTTCTAATACTCTTAAGCTGAAAAAATCTTTGGACCACTGTAAATAGCAGGATTAAGATTAAATAGCAGACTTATTATTCTGATCATAGGTTTTTTTGCATATTATTGCAAACTTGTGTTAAAAAGAGTATTTTAGTGTCCTCTGTTAGTGTTATAGATTGTAGAGTACGCCTACATGATATAGAGGACAATAATCTATTTTAGAGTACGGTTGGCAACCCTAGTTTGCCGGTACGTGGCCTTCGCTTCTAACCGTCCTATCTGGAGGTCATTGCAGGAGGCCTAGGTTCAGCAGTGGACGTCCTGTGGCTGATATGACGCTGATGATGATGATGAGCGTATATGTAAGCTTTTAAACTAGGTAACTATTTATATAGTAAGGGCATGCTTAGCCAATGACATACTTACATGATCTTCAGCCCACCTGCTTTGCATGGAGAATGTATAAATAATAAATAAATAATAAATCTTTATTCATTATAGGAAATTGGTCATATTACAGATAAACATCTTAATTTAAAATCAGAGATCACACAAGGTATGAAACCTTCTTAGAAGAGTCCTATAGAGTAGCAGTGCAACGGCAAAGGCTTATGATGATGCTGATAGCCAATACAGGTATCCATATCAAGGACTGCCTCGTTGGCCGACTGCTTATAAGTGCGACTGCCGGGCTAGAGGTCTCGGGCTCGATTCCCGGGTCGAGCAAAATACAACTGGGTATTTTAAAAATTCTCAGTAGTTTCACAGAGTCTGGAGTCGTGGCCGATGTATGGCAATAGGCTCACCCTTTATTACATGGGACTCAGGACATAAATACGGAAAAGCGGGTGTTACATTGTACAGTGGCATTAAGTGCTGTAAATGTGCACCTCTGCCTTTCCGGGGATAAAAGGCATGGTGTTATGTTATGCTATTTATTCATATCCTATCATAAAGTTGTATACATGAGGAGATGTCATGTCAAAAACACACGTAAGTATGTAAATTAACGCTCACATTATGTCATACTTAGAGACATTAAGATTTCTAGACCACCTTTTACTATACAAACTTGCAAACACGTTCCTAATTAGACCTCTTGCTAATCAATCATTTACTAACATCGTATCCTTATTAAGCATACAAAAATGTGATTGGCTGAAGGAAGTCCATATAATTATTTTAATTTTCGCCACTTTAGGTAACTAGGTAGGCCAGTATGTGACTAGTTGGAGAGTTAATTCGCTGGTACAAGGCGATGTATTTGTACTGAGATTATACGTAATAGACTGCCTTGTCGGCCGAGTGGTCGTAAGTACGACTGCCTGGCAAGCGGTCTCGGGTTCGATTACCGAATCGGGTAAAGTAATACAGGGTTTTTAAAAAAAACTCAGTAGTAGCACGGAGTCTGGAGTTGTGTCCGGTATATGGCAATAGGCTCACCCTCTATTACATGGGACTCATAACATAAATACTTAGTGAAAAGAGGGTGTTACAGTGGCATTAAGTGCCGTAATGTGCAACACGGCGGCATAAAAAGGCGTGATGCTATGTTATGTAATGTTTTTAACGTAACAATTTGATGGCAAAATATTAAATAAATATTAGGTACCTAACATATTATTATACCATTTTACCTATGATCCCATGGGGTAAAAAGTAGCCTATGTATTTATTCCAGACAATTTACCCCTGTTACAAATTTCATCTCGATCCTTTCAAATATTTTGACTCGGTAACCCATTAAGTTCTCCGCGGATCCGTATCGGTATTAGCTGTATTAGGCCCCATCCGTGGTGGTCTGAAGGCTCTTTGAGGCGCGCGCGGAAGGCGACGCGCCGTACGCTCGGGTCTGATTCTGGTCGGGCGGCGAGCCACCCATGCTCGCCGTCGGTTTCGCTTTCGGTGGCCGGAGATCGTACCGCGTTCCCCGACGCCCGGAGTGTTCTTCACGACGGCTGGGTTGTAAGGAAGCAGCGCTTCTCTGCATCATGCGCTCCACCTCCTCCTTAGGCGATCAAAAGGATAAGGTTGTCACTAGTCAGTGACTTCTTTGTTTACAAGGTGTAGTTGTCGCTTTCCTACCCACTTTTTAAAACACATCTTCTTACTCAATCTTAATTTATGGACTCCTAATACTTCGGAAAGAGAATGACGTATTCCTAAGTCGAAGCGTCGACAAGTTTTGTTAAATCAAAGATGAAAGTTCCACGTGCCAACAAATATTATTTATTTTGTTATCATAAAAATGTCCTGTTTGAAGGGTCTCGCTGTATTTGCACGGGGTACTTCAAATTTCGTTTTTTAGCTTAAATTTTAAGACATTGCAAGATTTTGTCCAGCTTAAAAAGATCTACCCCAAAGTATATAGATATATTTACGAGCAATCTCTAATTATAACTTGAAAAATTTTATGGTTTACTTATTATTTTTTCTCTCCTTATCCATCTGATATATTATATTGCCAGTGTTCATTGTACGTATAAGCAAATATACATTTATTTATGTACTTTCTCACAGTTTAGAACGTAGGTTGGTAACGCGACACTTGGCATGCAAGCAACCATTGCAAAATAAGCGTTTCAAATTCACTCACTTCGTGGAATCACACGCGTGCTCGCGCAATAACTAAACTGTTGGATTCTTTATTGGTTAAACTACAAATTGTTTGTGTTGTGTAAAGTTAATCACTGGTTTTTCTTAAGAAATACAACTTAGTTTTTTATATCTCGAAAATACACAAGAAGTTTATGTACATTGTTCTTTTGTCCTCAGTTACATTAGGAACTACTATGTAATAAGAAAAAAGCCTATGAGTGAAGAGCTATAGTACCATACCAAACTACAAATACTCCTAAGGATTCCAGAAATTTATAGTTATACATAGCCCAAATAGAAATACGAATTCGAAATCTGCCCTTATCAGAAGATAAGACAGGTTTTATAGAAATAAAACCTGTTGTGAGCACTACAAATCGAAAATTAGGTTGCTTATGGGACGACGTGCTCCATCGTAGACCGCATCATTGCTTACCAGCAGGCGAGATAGTGGTCAAACATCGGCCCATCAATAATATATATAAAAAAAATCTATTTAAAAGATATAAAATAAAAAACGTAAATTTAAGGTAATGTTTATTCTTTTTATTGTTGAAAATCATTTCGTAAAACATGATATTATATTCATTTACAATCTATATTAACTTATAAATAAATTATAAACATAAATGGTTACTTTACTGGGAATTTTAATTCCTTATTATATCTTGTATAAATAACAAAATTGAAATTCTTTTTGACCTATTTATAAATGAAAATAGGTATAAAAGAATTGCTCCATTTAAAAAATTAATATTATTAATTTTGTTTCTGATATTGTTATTTACGCATTTGATTTTAGATGATTGCAATTCGATGTTTTGCAGAACATTAAAATTCTCAATAAAACGAACCATAATCTAAATTGAAATCATTAATTACCAAAACTAAATACATAACATAAATTTAGACAATTTTTTAACAATAAAATGAGACTGAATGAACATTTTGAACGAATATATAACCAATAACGTTTAAATTGATATTTCTTCGATAAAAAATAACATTTAACAATATTACAGAGTATAACAATATTGTGATTCTTACTATCATCTATAAAAATAACAAAAAGGTACTCTATGCATTTATTTACAATAGTTATATAATCATTATAATGTATCTGTGACGCTACTACACTTATGAGTATTTATAAATACAAAACTATATAATAGGCACTTATAATGGTCCCTTTAATCCTAAAAATCCTACAAACAGACATTTTGCGGAGTCAGATAAATTCCACAAAGGTCTTTACCTACTACGCTAACTTGCTATTATGCAATAATATTATTTCATGTCAATTAATATTTGTAAACGAATAAATCAGGTGTGACAAAAAGGAGTCCCTTCGTCCTTCTATAAAAAATGGGGTTTTTGGTTCTACAGTTTTAATATATTTCAAAGGTCTATGAATCTATTATGGCATTCAGTACGGCCGGACAGTGCCGAGCCGGCCCCGCGGTATCGGCTCCGCGTAGCTGTGCCGAAACTTCGACTGCTGTCTGTCAGCTAGCTCGCGGAAATCTCTGTAGTCCCTGTCATAGTACCTCTCCCTATCTCCCTCCACATAAGACTGGCGCTGGTCGTCCAGCAGACGGGAGCGACTGAACGCCCTCTGCCGGTCGTTCCAGTCTCTCCTCCTATCTTCAATCACTGGTTCTATAATCTCGTCCTCGTCAATGCGTCTGTCTAGCTCCCTTCTTCCCCTACGGTCGAAGCTGTCAAACTCGTCTCTGTGCGGTTTCGGCTCGATCCTGTTGAGATATTCCTCGGCGCCGTACTCGTACCGCTTCACATCGTCCCGCTTCCTGCCGATGCGCGGCAGTCGCTCCATCTCCCTGTGCGGCAGCTCCCTCGCGTGTGTCGGCTCGAGCTCACGCATCCTGTCCGTGTCCTTGCGTCTCTCAGGCTCCCTGTGGCGCTCCAACTCGCGATGAGAGCGCTCTGGCTCTCTCCGGGAGCTAATGTCTCTGTGTCGGTCCTGACGCTCGTCCCTTCTTTCTTCCTCGGGGGAAGAAGTTGAGCGACTGTTCCGTTCCAGCATGCTCCTCCTCATTGCCATGTGCGCTTCCAGCTCCCTGTTGAACCTCTCCCGTTCTAGATTCATGAACTTTTCCTTGGCCACGTTGAATCGGTCTTTAGGGGACGCTTCTGCGATTTTAAGGCTACCTTCGCTGGCACCCCTTTGGAGTTTACCGAACCTCCTATCTTCGACCCTGTCAATGCTCCTGTTGGATGGTTTGGTTTCAGCGACGTACCGTCTTCTGTAGTTGATCGTGTCGTCTTGGAATTTCTCTACTGGCTTTTCTGGTTTGACACGTTCAAGTGACTCGTGACGGAATCTTCGTTCGAAGGTCTGGTCGCGGAAGGGGGCGAGCTGGTCGCGGAACTGGTCGGAGAAGTCATCGGGGTAGCCTCGGTCGTAGTTGCGCGGGGAGAGGGCGCGGCGTGCGGGGGATGTACGACGGGGGGAGGCAGCGCGGCGCGGGGGAGACGCGTCGAAGGCTTCGTGCATCATGTACGCTGTACTCTCCGCCCAGTCCTCCTCTGGAAACAAAGGAAAAAATTTGTTAAGAACTCGTGTGCATGAAAAGATAATATGAATATTTCCTACACTGCACTTTGGAGATAAGGACCTCGATACGTCATAACCTACTTCGCGACCGTTGTTAATTCTATCCACGTGCAAAATTTAGCAAAACGGTAAACTTTGTAAAACATGTCGCGGTGTCAGGCATCTGAAGATAAGATTTGTTCCACATTATAAGACTGCAGTTATTCGTGCCAGACTCACTGCTTCTATAAACATAGGTACCGGCAATTATTAAGCATGAATGAAGTTATTTATAACCGGTTATTCTAGATTGATGTGTTCATGTTTTTATGTAGACTAGCTTGATAACGACACAATACAATCACACAAACATCGCGTACTCTATTATCTACATACAATGAATTCTTCTAGCAAATAAGTTAATGTTTCACTGCAATGACAACCTTATAACTAAATTCTGGAGAACTGAACGCTAGAGTTGAAATTCCTAGTGTATTTTTTTAAGGGGGGAAAATCATCGAATGATTGCTCCCGCCTGGGTGAGGCGGGAGGGAGTGTCAGACTCTTACTGACTAAAAACGACCCCGTTCCTTCTCCTGCACGTCGAACCGGAGCCCCGGTAACCCGTTAGGTTCTCCGCGACATTCCTTGTCTATACCTTGTAACGTTTGCTTTACTTTAAAACTTATACTTTTCAACAGAGGTAAAGAGAAAGGTAACAAGCTGAACACAACGCACATAAACACCAATTATCAGTTAAAGCCATTGTATTTTTGCGAAACCCTTACAAGTAAAAATAAAAAATTATTCTATATGGCGAGACAATTTCAAAAAAGTCATGACTATAACTTTTGCTGGACCGCTAATGGAATTGTTTATCTTAAAAAGGCTGAAGGCTCTCCGCATCATCGAATAAACAACCATAATGATTTGGAAAATTTAAGAAGAAATACCGTTACAAAGTGACTAAATAGGATCACTGTAACTCTAAACATTAATCTCAACTTTACGACGTCTCTGATGCATGTATTTATGTTTGCTTTATATAGTTTGAAAATGTTGTTGGATGCCTTTTATATTGCTTTAGTTGTGCATGCTTTTTGGCCAAGCTCTATGACATACTATACCAACAACGTTGTGTTCACAACACATACTTACAAATCCCATGAAGACTACATAACACAACACAACACAGCACGACATATAGTTTTACTGTACTTAAACTTTATTTATATTCCTCCCGCAAATCAGATTTTTATTCACACTATGTACAAAACCACACACTTACAAAAAGAACACTCAAACTATAACTATTCCCTACCACAGTATTACCTACAAATACAACATGACTACACTGCCACACGTATTCCTCAACCAAAACAAACATTACACATATTTCGTAAAAACTGTTTTAATAGCTATACAATACACAAATCTCAAAAAAGAAAAATATTCAGGAAAACACTACCCAAATATCTACTCTTTGGTGACATATTAAAACTTACAGAAGATATAGACCAGATAGCTGTTTCCCACGCATTCACTGCAGCCCTTGAAGACTGCCATAAATATATACAGTCGAAACCAGAAAACCTGCTAATTATTACCCAAAACATACGCAGCATAAACCGCAATTTAACAGGTTTTGAAACATTACTAGCGAGATTAAAGCTAGACTGCCACATTATTGTCTTGACAGAATGTTGGCTCACTAACAATGCCGATATACCAAAACTACCTGGATATAACCACGCAGCAACGAAAGCTCATCATAAACAAAATGATGGAGTAGTTATCTACTACAAGGACTACCTAAACATAAAAATACACGAACCAAACCCAAACGAATGCAATTGCCTCGTTGCTACTATGGACAGGCACTTAGCCATACTTGCAATGTATAGATCACCATCATATAAAAATGTAGATCCTTTTCTTGCTTTTCTAGATGATACATTGCAAGAGATTACATCTTATGCAAATGCCATAGTTGTAGGTGACTTAAATATAACAATAAGCTCAAATTCTATTGATGCGAATGGTGAACGTTACCTTACACTAGCAGCATCGCACGGCCTTCTGCCTGCGCATACTTTAATTACAAGAAGTAGTAGTGGAACTTGCTTAGATCATGTTCTTCTAAAAACAAAATATAACGCCACCACTATTGTGCCACAAACAACGCTAACGGACCACCACCCAGTATTATTATGTATGAACTCAAAAATACCGCGACAGTACGCTACTACTATGACAAATAAAACAAATTACAAAGGTATCGAGCAGGATGTTTTGGCACTTGATTGTAGTGTAATTTATCAATCAGAAGACCCGAATTTCTGTCTCAATTATCTAATCACTAATTTGCAGAACATAATAGAGAAAAATTCTCAAACAATCACCCTTTCACGGCGGAAAAAAATTATAAAACCGTGGATTACTCCGGGCTTGTTACGCTGTATGCAAAACAGGGACAAACTCCACAAAAAAGTAAACACGTCTCCGGAAAATAAAATACTTGCAATAACATACAAACGCTATAGGAACTTCTGCAACAACATACTTAAAAGGGTAAGGGACAGTTACGAGCAACAACAACTGAAAACTGCACAGAAAAACAACAAACAGTTATGGAAAGTTATTAAAGAAATTACAAATACAACTAAATCAAAACAACATTCAAATGAGCTCTTACATTCGCTACTACACCAGAACAGTCACTTTGTGAGGTAAACAGTTACTTTATAAACGTTGGAAACTCGCTAGCTGAAAAAATCTATAACAAAAATCTGACCACAAGGACTTCCATACAAAATACACCAAACAGCCTAAATAACATCCACCTTACAAATTCATTTGCTTTCCTTGAAACAGATGAAAATGAAGTGAATAATATTATAATGGGCCTAAGATCAGACTGCGCCATAGGAGGCGATAAAATTAGTTGCAGACTTCTAAAACAATACAAAAAGTTACTGTCACCACACTTAACTAAAATATTTAATGACTGCTTTAAATCTGGAGTATTCCCGGATTCTCTAAAAATATCTGAAATTTGTCCTATATTTAAGAGTGAGACAGAGGTCGTATTAATAACTACAGACCTATTTCGATACTACCGGCAATCTCAAAAATTTTAGAAAAAATTATAAATATGAGGCTAGTGCAATACCTTGAGACAAAAGACCTATTATCAGCCAATCAATTCGGCTTTCGTCAAGGGAAAAGCACAGAGCAAGCAGTAAACAAGCTTATCAGTTTTACAAGCTCAAATATGTCAAATGGGAAAAAGTGCCTGGCAATTTATCTAGACCTTGCCAAGGCATTTGATACGATCTCTGTTTCCATCTTACTAGACAAATTGGAAAAATTCGGAATAAGAGGTAAGCAACTCGAACTTTTAAAAAGTTACCTTTCTGGGCGATCACAATGTGTGCGAGTGGGTCCGTATAGAAGTACATACCTCCCAATCACACATGGAGTGCCGCAAGGTAGCGTTCTGGGTCCAACATTGTTCCTCATGTATTTAGACGAACTCACAAAACTAAAGCTTGCCAAAGGAGAAATAATTTCCTTTGCCGACGACACAGCTCTTGTTTTTGCCGACGATACATGGGAGGGAGTCTTTGGCGCTGCCCAGCGTGGCCTAAACTCCGTGAAGGAATGGCTTCAAGACAACATACTGACCCTAAATATAGATAAAACTAAATATATGTGCTTCAGTATTAGACAAAACTATGCACCCCCCAATAACCATAATATCATACTGCATGCGTGTTCCTCTGAGGATATTTGTCAGTGCCCATCACTAGAACGAACTGAATCGATAAAAATCTTGGCATTGTCATAGACTCTAGGCTTAGCTTCAAAGA